TAAGCAGCCCAGTGGGAATTGGTCACCTGTGGATTCAGGTCCTGGCCCTATGCAAGGGCCTCACTCAACCCTAGTTTACAGTGCCAAACAGGTTGGGAATGAGTGGATTGAGAGCTTAGGGTCACTGAGGATGAAATGGGGGCTCCATGCCAAGCAGTTAGCTGTGGCCTTGGCACGATGAACACCTGCCGTATAGGCTGTGATAATTCTGATGGATGATCTTCCATCCCACCCAGTGACCAACACTTGGTGGATGCAGTTCTGTTCATCAGAAAGCAGACAGGAGAGTCACTCCATGACAGGAAATCTTGAGAATGGCAATTTGTCCATGGCTGTCAGACAGATAGGAAGAGCAGATATGTGTTACCAACCCACAATCGTATATGAAGACACACTGTGTGCAAGCACGTTTCTGGGTATTAACCAAGATTCTGTAAGCAGAGCCAGTGGAACCACTGCCCTTTTGAGTTTTGATGTTTGTGGGAGGCCACAGAATAACCCTTGGCAGCAGAACAGATATTGCTCACCCCAAATCCATTGTTCCAGTCCCCAGGCCTCCCTAGTTGTGGGTACAAACCATGCACAAAGAGTTATACAGGGGCAAAGAGAATTGGGCACTGCATCACTGCCTGAGCTAGAGACTGCAGAGATGCAGGACAGACACTGATTGATCCCTCACTTCTCAGATATTCATGGAGTGGCAGCCCTGAGCTTTTGAGTACAAGGACAGGGCAGATTGCAGTCTCTACCTTCTCCAAGTGACTTTCACTGGGGAGGGGCAGGGAGATACTGTGTCAGGATTCCCTGAAGAATGTAGATGTATGATAAAACTAAGCAAGTTCTCCCTCCCAATGAGACTTCTTTCAGCCACTAAGGGCTCCTTGGGCCCTCACTGCCCAATTGTGGGTGGGTGAGGATGGGGCTGGACACTGAATCAACTGGGCAGGAGGTCCATGAAACCCTCTTTACAAGTGAGATGTGCAGGCATTGTGGGAGGAAAGCCCAGGTCTCTCACTCTGCTGGTTCGCTGTCTGCCCCAGTTCTTCTGTGCTTGAGGCCACATTGGAAGTATATGCCCATGTGGATCCCCAGGCTGAGCTTCTCCTGGACCAGCTGGAGCCCCAGAGACTGAGCCACAGGGTAACTATCCTTGGAGTGTAGAATGTAGGGTTGTGGGGAGGTGATGGCCTTGGAACTCAGCAAAGTGCCCAGATGCTGGGTGACCCAGGAGTATGACACACTCAGCAGTCTTTGTGGGGATGCAGTCAGGAGGCTTTCCTGGGGTTGTGTTGGTGCACATGGCTGCCTCTGACAGGCAGTAGGAAGGTTTTGCCCAGGAAGTCCATGGAAAGTTGGCAATTTTTTCATTTCCTGCAACTACAGGGCCAGGCTCAGCCCATGCAGAAGTTGCACCTGCAGACCTTGTGCCAGCTCTACCTGCAGCTCCCTAACCAGCTGTAATCCCAGAGCAAGAGCCAGTACCTGGGTTCCTTTGTCCAGCAGCTGAAGTTCTGAGCTTCCTGGTGGCTCCACTTAGGAGTCATATCTCGAGCTCTAACTGCGGGCAGCTCTTGACCCACACCTGCCATTCCCCTCTCTTCCAGATTTACTTACTATTGTTTTCACAGCTACACTTATTTACCAGAGATAGATTAGTGATAGAACAAATATAGATAAAATTTAAGATTTTAGTGTTGTTTAAAATAATCAGCTTGCTGGCATTCACTGCATTCTCAATGTTGAGCAAATTTTCCCAAGTCCACTTCCAGAACATATTCTTCAAATTTTTACACAATGGTGTTTTGTTTTCTTTCCCCTCTTGCCCCATCCCAGCCACCACTGATTGTATGTCCTCATACTTAACCTATATTACATTTCCCACATCAATGCCATAAAGTTTTATTTGGCCAGGAATGTTGGTAGTGACTATCTTGGGTTAGAGTTAGGTTTAGGGGTAGGTTAAACTTAGGGTTAGGGTTGGACTAAGCTCCCAATTATTGCATCATTACCCACTGTATTTGTCATAAAGAAAGGACAATCAAGACAAAGCACATCCTTATGCTGGCAATCTCTTGGCCCTGAGCTGTATCCTCAATGCACAAAACTTTGAGAGCAATCACTGGTGGTTGGGTTGTACCACTGTGCGAAAGATAGGGCCTAATATGCATTCTATGCATCACGTGTGCCCTGGTCCTAACACCAACATAATCAGTCTACACTGTAAATAGGTAGTAAGAAAAAATGTCCAGTAATCTGTAAACAAAACACAAAGCAAGAAAATCCACTTCTGACATTTGGGGAAAAAAAGAGCTATTGATGAAAAATCTCACACAGGAAAGACATGCTCTCTTTGGCCAGCAATGGTTCCTTTGTGCAAATGCAAATCTGTGGAGCAAAGCATCAGTTGTCCTCAATCTATGTCCTTGCTAATGGAATTTCTGGGGCTCATCTTCCTACCATAGGAACATGCACTTTTATATTTTTCTCTATGCACAACCTAACAGAGACACATAGAGGACTCACTGTGTGCTGGGTACCAGAGCTCCTCAGATGTAGATCACACTTGGGAAGACAATGAAACTCACACTGTCAATAGCTGGTGATGACTGAGTCAAGGACAGAAGGTGAAAACCAAACACAGGCAAACCTTCTGTAGGAACCCTCAGTCTGGCTCCCAAGTCCTGTATTTGTAACTCTGCTTAGACCCCTGATTTCTATCAATGTGATCAAAACTGCTGTCTTCTCTCTGGCCTCAGGATACAGGCTCAGAAGTGGGTGTAACAGTGACAGCTGGAGGTGCCCTGGCCCCTCTGTAACCACAGCGTTGGAGAAAGACTCTTGTCTTCCTCCACCTTCCTCCCTTGCCTCTCTCACTACATTTCAAAGGCTGAGCTGCTGCCCAGCTGTCTGGGTGGAGATGCTCAGCAGGGCCTTCAACATAGTTTTATCAGCATAGTTTTATATGTGACATACTGTGTCACATACACACAGCTTTCCAGTAAATGGTCTTGAGATAGAAAGATGTAGTAAAAAGTGACAGCTAACTGGAATGAAACCTGCTTTATACACAAAGGCCCCACATCAAAGTGGTGGGGGAGGAAATATATTCGGTTTTTGCCCCACTCTGTGGCCACTCAAAACTCAGCTACCCCATTGCTGATTACAAATATTCCTGCCCCACCCCACCACACTAGACTAAAGACTCACGAACACAAAGACCAGAAACCTAGGTGTTTGCCTCTGGAGCCAATGGCAGGAAGGTGAGGACACAGTGGTGCCTGGCAACTAGCTGACCAGACAAAAAAGAAATGAAGTGGCCATGACCATCTTACCCGAGGGTCAGTCACTGATACAGAGCCATATTATGCACAGGTGAGCCTTGGGCCATCTCCTTTCCAGGTACTCTCCACTCTTGAATGACCCAGAGACATACAAATAGCAGGGTGATGACACTGCCAGGAGTTATAACACAGTCATTTGGTTTGGGACAGAACACAGATGGATGATAACAGAGACGGATGAGTTGGGAAGAATTAATGCCCAGACACAGTTGGGCTGGGGCATCCTTATTTCCCTTCCTTCCAATGTGTGGTCCAGATCTCAGGGCCCTGCTTCAATGTGTGGTGCACATAGCCTTTGTTCCCTAGCCAGATCCAATTCTGCCCATCCCACAGGAGCCATTTCAAAGTTACTGTTTCTGCTTGGATTGTGCCAGACAGAAGCATTTGCATTTGTCTCCCCACATATCCAGATATTCATAAATCACATGGTAACCCACAGATTAAGCTAGCTCCTTAGATGATCTACAGATAGGGATTTCCAGACTGACCTTGAGACCTCAATTCTGAGCACCATGTTCTGAGGAGAACTTCTAGAGCTGAGAGCTAAAATTAGGGGCTCTTTAGTCCTAAGCCCTGGACCAAGTGCAACACAGATTGGAACCAGCTTGTCCTAGGTGATAACCAATCAGAAATACTTGTGGGAACAGGATTCTCAGACAGAATGGGATGGCACAAAGCATCCCCTAGACCAGCCAGGGATAGCACAAGCCCAGCTTTGTACTCTTACAAGGAGAATGGAATATAGCAGGAGGAGGGAGGGGTGCCTGAGGAATGAGGGAATGAAAGATGCAATAACAGTAGAAAAAGGCCCTGAGTTACTCATTGAGGGACACCTGATTTTGTTACCTACCATACCTTTTTTTTTGTCTTTTCTTTTTCATTTGTTTATCGGTATCAGGTATTGAACTCATGACTGCACACTTGCAAGGCAGGTGCTTATGCCACTGAGCTAAATCTGCAGCCTCCACCCACCATACATTTTGGGTGACAGCAGACAACAGTGACACTTGACTTTGGGCAGCTTCACATACACTGCCTCCTCCTGTGATTCCATTCAAAGGTCCAAGAAAGATTGGAGTGGACAATGGGGGCCCTATGTAGACAAAGGTTTGTAGGGGAATGACAAAGACAGTGTGAGAGGATGTCCTGGGCATGTGGTAGTGGTACACACCCTGTGTTGTTCAATGTGGCTACCCAACACAGCAAGTGTCCAAATGCCACCCTGACCCAATACCCCCAGGCATGGATCTCCATAGCTCATTCAAGAGGGACATCCCAATATCTTGAAAGACACTGGGGTCCACACACATCAGAGAAGGGCTGCCCAAATCTATGGGAACCATAGCACCTGCTCCTGCCCTTGTTGTGTGCTCTCCCTCATGGCACTCAGGTACAACATGATGCCACATGTTAAGAACAGATGGCTTGAAGAGTACTTGGCAAGAGTCACCTTCAGCAGGGCTTGTGCTGGGGAAGGGATCCCCCTGCCACACATTAGTGCTGTGCCTGGTTTTAATACATCAAGACACATAGGAAAAGTGAGTCCACATGGGTTCAGGAATCAAGTGAGGCTAAGATATTCTAGTAAGTAGCTCCACTGTGTGAGAGTGGGGCCAACAGACACTATTGTCCTCAGCCTCCAGCTTGGGACTGACTCACCTCAGACCATGATCCGGGCAGTCTGTTCAAGAACTACATGTCTGCTGCTTGGGGAGCTGCGTTCCAGGTCCAGGTCAGAACATTTGAGATCTTTCATGCCCTGTGGGGTACAGAAGAGGAATGGAAGTGGTGAAAAGGTCTATCACAGGGCTTAGGAAGTGATCACCATGGCACAGGTATATAACTTGTTGTCCTTTCTAAAGCTGTATGCCAACAGAGATTTTGGCTTTAGGATATGATACATGGCTTGGAACAAGGCACAGAGACTTTAGTTTTGTGGGACATTAAAATGCCCTGTGTCTGAAGCATGAAATTTTCTCAGAGTTAGGGAAGGTGAATTGGTATTTTAGTGGGTATGATCCCCAGAGAGAAGAAACCACATGTAGCCAACATTAGCAACAGCAGTAAGCAAGCATCTTTATTATCCAGCCTGTATATATGAGCCATCATGAAGCATTACATGCTTGCATAGTGTCACAAGCCTGAGCACATCCATGGCTGTCTATGTTAACTCATGCTTACATAACTATGCTTATATAACTATGCTTATATAACTCATGCTTATATAACTATGTCCATGCTAATCGGTTGGGTCAGATTCCATAGGTCATCATACCTTTTGGTGTTGAAGCAGTGTGCAGTGGTTTCTCACATTCCACCATCTCAAAGATCAGGGAAAGTGTGCTTATTATAAGTGATGTATAGGGTGGATTCATGCACACACAGACCATGACAACAATAAATGTAAAGAATAATACCACAAGTCATGCCACAGTGCAGCTAATGGTCACCCAGAGCCAGGTGGATCCCAAGTATTCCCACCACTGCATGAGCAGGTCCTGACACAAGGCATCAAGGACACAAAACTCCATGTCCATTTCTTTTTGTTTTATATTTTAAAAAAATTTTAATTTAAACATAGAAAATAAAATTAAAAGAAAACAAAATACAAAAAAGCAAAAAAGTGTAGAATATAGAATTCAAAAAACTTAACTCCTAAAATTACTAGTTGATACATTACATATTGTCATCTTAAAAACAGTTGTTAAAGTTACAAAACAAAGCATAAAAAGTAGCTAAATACTGAATCATTGACGTGCAAACCCTTCTGTTCAGTGATCTAACAGAAATTTAGTAATATGGTCATCTATCTTACACACTATATGTATCATTATATCATTTAGAGCCCGTTTCTTTGCTTTTGCTTTTACAATATATACTATACTTTTTTGGATCCCAATTCTTTGTCAGTTTTATTATTTTTTTACACTAGGGAGACAATGAGAGAGGATATTCTCAAGCATATTCTTGAATATTCAAATATATTCTCAGCATACAGGTGTTTTACTTATAAAGGCCTCAATCTTTTCTATAGCTGAGTGGTATTCCATTGTGAAAAAATACAATTTTTTCATCCACTTGTGGTTGATGGCATTTTGGTTGTTTCCAAGATTTAGCTATCACAACTGTGTTGCACATATGTCACTGTGAAATAATTTTTTTCAAATTTTCTGCGAAAATACCCAGAAGGGCAATAACTGGATTGAATGGAAAATCCAATCTTAGTTTTTTGAGGAATTTCCACACTAATTTGCACAGTGCTTTTATCAGTCTGCATTCCCACACCAACAGTGGACAAGTGTTCCTTTTCCCCTTCATGTTGCCAAAATTTGTTTCAGTTGATTTCTTGATGTCAGTCATTCTTTCCAGAGTAAGATGCAATCTCAGGGCTATCTTAATTTGCATTTATCAAATGGCCAATATTGGTGAACATTTCTTTATGCATTTATTTGCCATTTTCATATCTTCATCTGAGAACTGTGTACTTACTTCTGATGCCCATTTTTGGAAAGGGTCTTTGAATTTGTGGGCTTGACATTTTTCAATTTTATATTGAAATTTATATAATTTCATTTTATATGTTCTGCATATAAGTCCTTTGTCGTCTGTCCAGATTCTTTCTGTCTCTGTGGGGTTTTTTTTTTCACTTTATTTGATTTCTGTTTAAGTCCAAAACTTTTTAGTAATATGAGATCCAAGTTGTTGATTCTTTGAAGTATTTTCTATGTGATTGTGTTTTATTAATGAATTCTCTGCCTACTCCTATGTCTCCAAGATTTCTATCTACCATGTCCTCCAGTAGATTTTTGTTTCTTTTTTAATATTAAGATCCTTGAAACACTTTGACTTTAGTTTAGTGTATGGTGATAGGTATGGGTCTAGTTTCAGTCTTTAGCATGTAATGTCAATTTTTCTAACACCATTTATTAAAGAGGCTATCTTTTTCCAGTGAACATATTTAGCCCCTTTGGCAAACTTAAGGTGGCTCCGTGTCTTTGTAGTAGTGTTTGCATCTTCTAATCTGTTCCATTGATCCTCAGGTCTATTTCTTTGCCAGTACCATGCTGATTTTATTATTGTGGCTTTGTAGTATAGTTTCAAGTCAGGAATTGAGATGAGTCTTGTCTCTCTGTTGTTTCCTAGAAATGCTTTTGTTATTCTAGATTTATTTGGTTACCAGATGAATTTCAGAATTACTTTCTCTAGATATGAAGGTATGTTAATGATATTTTGATTGGGATTGCATTGAATCTGTATAACAGTTTTGGAAATATGGCCATTTTCACAATATTGGCTCTTCCTAACCAAGAGCAAGACATATCCTTCCATTTTCCAATATCCTCTTGAATCTCCATTTTCAGAGTAGTATAATTTTCAGCATACAGGTGTTTTACATTTTTAGTTAGGTTGATTCCTAAGTATTTCATTTTTTAGATGCTATGGTGAAAGCTGATATTTTCATAACTTTTCTCTCATGGAGTTTTTTTTGTGTGTGTGTGTGCAGGGATGTTATTGATTTGTGAGTGTTGACTTTCTATCCAGCTATGCTGCTGTATTTGTTTGTTGCCTCTAGTAGTGTTTCAATTGAGATTTTGGGGTCTTCTATGTAGCATATCATGTTGTCGGCAAATAATGATAATTTAACTTCTTTCCCTATTTTTATTCCTTTTATTTCTCCCTCTTGTCTGATTGCTCTGGTTAATATTTCCAGAACTATATTGACTAGGAGAGGTGACAGGGGACATCAGTGTCTTGTTCCCGATTTTAGTGTGAAGGTTTTCAGTTTTTGTCTACTTAGAATACCATTGGCTGTAGGATTGCAATAAATGGTCTTTAGACTTTGAGGTACATAGCGTCTATTCTGAGTTACTGTAGGGTTTTTATCATGAACAGTTGTTGTATGTTATCAAAAGCTTTTTATGCATGCATTGCAATGATTAGGCGATTTTTATTTTTGGCTCTGTTGATGTGGTGTATCACATTCATTGATTTGTGCATGTTGAACCATCCCTGCATTCCTGGAATAAATCCTACTTGATTATGTTGTATAACCTTCTTCATGATTTGTTGCATTCTATTTGCCTATATTGTATCAAGAATCTTTGCATCATTGTTCATTAGTGAGATTAGTCTATAATTCTGCTATTTGGTTTGATTTCTCTCTGGCTTTGGAATGAGAATGACACTTGCTTCTAAGCGTGAGTTAGGGAGGACTAATTCTCTTTCAATTTCATTGAAGAGTTTAAGGAGTGTTACAGTCAGATCTCTGAATTTCTTATGGAATTCAGCCCTGAATCCAGTGGGATATGGGCTTTTATTGTTGGTAAGTTTTTAATCACATTTTTGATTAATGTGGCTGATATTTGGTTACTCAAAATTGTTATATCTTTTTGATTGAGCATCGATAGTTCATATTTCTATGAATCTATTTCCTCTATTTTGAACCCTATGTGAGTAGAGATTTTCAAGGTAGGTGTTCATGTTTTGAATTTCCATGGGATCTACAGTAATTTCTCTCTTTTCAGTCCATATTGTGTGGATTGTTTTTTTATTGATAAGCTTGGCTAGAGGTTTATCAATTTTATTTTCTCAAAAAAACAGCTCTTTGATTCATTAATTTGTAATTTCTTTGGTTTCAATTTCATTAATTTCTGCTCTAATCTTTATAATTTCCACTATTCTATGAACTTTGGGTTTGACTTGCTCTTACTTTTCTAGAAGCTTGAGATATAGCATTAGGTTATTTACTTGTGTTCATTCCATTTTCTTGATGTGACTACTTATTACTATATATTTCCCTCTTAGGATTGCTTTCATTGTGTCCCATAGGTTGTGGTATGTTGTTTCTGCATTTTCATTGTATTATAGACATTGTTTTATTTCTTGTTTAATTTCATCTGTAACCCACTGGTTGTTCAGGATTGTTATTTAATTTCCATGTATTTGTGCAGGTTTTTTAGGGATTTTTGCCATTGATTTCCAGTTTTAGTGTACTATGGTCCCATAATATGCATGAGATAATTTCGCTCCATTTGCATTTACTTAAAAATATTTTATGGGATAATATATGGTCTATTTTGTAGAATGTCCCATGTGCAGCTGAGAAGAATATATGTTCTGATATGGTTGGGTGGAATACTATGTAAACATGCACTAAGTCTATTCATGCACAGGTATGATTCAGTTATGTTATTTCTTTGCTGACTTTTTGTCTAAGTTGATCTATCTCTTTGTGACAGTGGGGTGTTAAAGTCTTCTATTACAATTGTGTTCTTGGGTGTTAGCTTTTCATGTCCATTAGTATTTGTGTAACATAGTTGGGTCCTCCTGTATTTGGTGCATATATATTTATAATTGTTAGTTCTTCCTTTTGTAGTTATCCATGTAAAAGTTTGTAGTGGCCTTCATTATCTCTTTTAATCATTATATGTTTGAACTTCACTTTGTCTGCAAACAGAATAGCTACCCCTGCTCTTTCCAGGGTTCCTGGTGCATGGAAACTCTATTCCATGCTTTGACTTTTAATCTGAGTTTCTTTTTGAGTCAGATGTATTTCTTGTATACAACATACTCTGGGATCCTATTTCTTGATGTATTCTGTCAACCTGTTTCTTTTGATAGGTGAATTGAGCCCATTTACTTTTATGGATATCACTAATATATACTGCTTTGACTTTGCTATATTGTGTACCTGTTGTTGGTTTCTGCTTTTTCTCCATTATTTGGTTTCTTGTCCAGCCTGGTGGTTTTTTTCTGTTG